GACACTTTCGTAATAGGTAAACTAGGGAGCGTCATATCTAAAATCTAGGATGAATTGGTGGGTCGGTTCGAAAAATCTTCTAAACTGTTTCAAAATGGCCAGGGTAATAAACGACTAGCCACTGAGTTCTAAATCTTTGCTTGTATTCAGTCCAGCCATAAAAAAAACAACGGTCTCGTGATCAGATTCATTTTCTCTTACACGCATGTTTTTTTAAAATGAAGGTTACTACGGCCCTTACCAGAACAATTCAAGTTAGGATTTTTTGTGCACACTGTAGCCATTGGTAGTTTGCTGAATGTTGACAAGAAATGGGAAATCAAAATACAATTAATCTTTTGCATTTGCAGTAAAAAGCCACCTTTGTGACTGATAAAACATTGTTCAGTGTTCAGGCAGAAAAGCAAACACAGCAACTCTTGAAAGCTTAATTAACATGTGTGAAAACTGTTACTATTTTCTAATTCAGAAGCAGTTTTGTAGTTTTTTAATTGCCCTTGGCTGATTCCATTAGATATCAAGTAGGTAAGAATAGGGCTAGTGTTATCAAAAGATGAAGAACTTTTACAACTCACGACAGTTAAACTCGTCGTTTTTCTCTTAACATAAATTTTTGCTGGAGGGAAATTTATAATTTATTCGCAGTACCAAAACTGAATTGGAATGTTAGAACTTGCTACATTTTAACAGTTTTAGGAAGCGTAATTCACGTACCACACGACGTGCGATCTTTGGGGGAGGGAAGGGGAGCTACCTAACCTGCGAGAAGGGGGTTCTTTTTTTTTCGGGGAAGAGCGACTGGTAAAGAAAAATTAAGAAAATGGAAACGAAGAAAAAGGGATGAAGGACCACCTGATCGCAGGTTAGGAGCTACCCGTACTCACGTACCTGTTAGCAGTTTTGACAACATGATTGGCGGACTAAATGTAGAGGCTAGTGTAGCCGGCAAAAGACACAGAATTAGGGGCAATAAAGGATCGAACATAAACATATATTCGGTTCAGAAGCGTCAACTGATTGATCGAATTAAAGTATATACCCAGGTTAGCTTATTAAAATGTAGATTTTCATCGTTTGTTTTTCCTCTCTTGAATCACTTCTATTTCTCTGAAAAACTTTGATGGACTGGAGAGGAGACAAGCTATTAAGAAAACGTCAGTCAAGAAAAACTTATATTAAAACTATTATGAAGTGGCCTTGGTCCGAATGCAACATTAAACGGCTATACCATAGGCTGAGTGCACTGAAAATATCTCTAAAATTTGTATAAATAATGTTATATCAGTTTTAATGGCTGTAATCCAAGCTTAGGAAACGATACAACTATTAATGACTGTGATTTCTAAATATGCCGCCTAAGCTGATCTGTTTTGTTTTGTTGAAGTAGTAGTAGGTTTTCTTTCTTTTGGAAGTTAAAGTTCCTTCTGCTTCTAGACCCTAGCTTTAAAATCTGTGAAAGAAATCCTATGGTGTTATCCAAATAAAACCTCTTTGTCAGAACTTCTGTATAGTGCTATTTATCTCTTAGGATTTCAACAAAAGAAATTTGATTTTCTTATGAATTCACTGTCTGGTCACCGTACGAGTGAAGGGGTTAATTGTAGCTGTTAATTGAAAACTAGGAACGTAACGATCGAAATTCTACTTTTGTTAATCGAC